CCATATTTTACCATGTTTTTAGCATAGTTTTGATTAATAATTAGGAAAATAGTTCTAAAATAAACTTGAAAAGATCACAAAAATAATATAATTAGTATAAATTGTTATTTTGTTGAAATATTAAAAATTGTTTAGATTTTTGTAGGAGTTCATGCAAAAAGATAGAAAGCTATTGAAAGTGCTGAAAGGAAGGATTAGCAGCTGAAATTGAAGAAGAATAGTCAAAGAATCAAGCTTGAAGAAATCCTAAGAGCTAGGCGTTACAACTCCAAGTGATTGGCATTTGAACGTGGAAGCACTAGGTCTGTGTGGCCACTCTGAGTGATGCGCGTTAACACTCTAGCAACTGAAATTGAATAACTGCCATTGCGTTGAAACGCACATCACTTGGCGCTTTGGCGTGCAATAGAGCGTGGAAACGCATAACAGATGGCGTAGTAACGCAGAGCTGAGCACATGGAAGAAGCGTTCATTGAAGTGTTGTGCGTTGAAACGCACATCACTTGAAGCCTTGGCACACAAGAGCGTGTTGCAACTCATAGCACTTGCAGCCAAGGCGCGCAACGGTGTGCCTTCACTTCAGTCACTGCGCGTTTTGGCGCAAAACTCTACAATTTTTATAACTTCTTCTTCTCGCCAATTCTGGACGTTTGGAGCTTTTGTATCACTTTTAGAAAATTCCAGAACACTTGGGGATAACTAACTTTCAAAATTCCAAGGGTTAAGTCGAAGAATTAGAGGAACTCTATAAATAGGAATTAGAAACTTAGAAAAAAGGCTTTTTGTCATTTTTAGGTTTTGGTATTCAGTTGTAACCGTTTTAACTTCCAAGGGAAGTCAGAGGGAGAAGAGAGGAGCGACTTTTGTTCTTCTTTGCTAGAGGAATCTGGGAGAAGACAAAGTTATGGAGATGGCTCTCTGCTTTTCATCTTCTTTTCTTCTTGCTTCTCTTCATTTCATTGTAATGTGTTTCTAACTCTTTTTGTTAGGGATTTATGGATCTAGAATTGATATATTGATTTCGTTTTGACTCTAAACTTTGAGTATTTGATTTGATTGAGAAATTAACTCTGTGTTTACTTGATCTTTGAATGGAAATTCAATTGATTAATCAAAAAGTAACCTTCACTAATGGAAATTGGGTTAGTTGCTTGATCTGAATTAATTCCCAAAACTATTGATTTTCTTAGGAATAAGTGATCTTAGTTTTGCAATCTTTTAGTTCTAATTCGTAATGCAATATTGAACTAAATTTGGCCTAAGGAATTAGGGAGATTTGGTTAAATATTAGGACCAATGAATTGAGGAATCAATCTTTAGTTATTATAAAGAGAAACCTATTGTCAATCAATCAATTGCTTGAATGTTCAGAGGCAGAACTGAATTGATATTGATATTCTAGTGAAATAAATTCCTAACTTTTTCTTCCATTCGTAATTCATTCAAATATTACAAATTAACATTTTATTTTTAACAATATCTCATTTATTTAATTCTGAAATTTTATTTCTTGAATATTGAAATCTGTTCAATGAATTGTTTGGTGCAAAAGGTTACTATCTTGTGAATTGGTGATTAAAAATAAGATCCTAGAGGACGATACTTGGGACTCAATCTGATTTCCACATTTTATAACTTGCTACAACTACCTAGTACACTTGCTAGTAGTGAATTACACCATTTAAGTACTATGATATAGAAAAAGTGTAACAAATACATATAAAGGCTGTCACTTAGCAGCCACAAAACCCTAAAAGTTTATGGGCCAGCTAGCCCATTAAAACATAATGAAAATAAAAGAAATAACAATAACTAGAATTTATTGGGCTAAATTCATATGCCCATATGGTAGCCCACTTAAACTTATGACAAAATTTATTTAGCAGCATACAATGCTTTTAAAACCCTAAAAAATAAAATTAAAATAATAGCAGCCCTTCTTGCATCAAGGGTCTTCAATTGGAACAATGCAATGAACCAATTTAGGCTCTAAGTCCTCCAATTTAGGGGCAACTTCAAGAATTGTTGCTACCACTTGGTTTAGAGTCTCCTTAGCCTTCTTAGTTCTTGCTCTAGTCATAGGTCCCCCAAGTCCTTCAAGTGCGTTGTTCCTCTTGTCCTTAACCATGTCCTTATCAAAAGTATAGTACCTTAGTTTGACATTTGAGTGAAAAGTATGGAAATATAAGATTCTAATTAGGAATCATTTTGATTGCCTATGCTCATTGATATTACTCTTATTGCTCTCTTTATCTCCGTTGTTTCGGGTTCCTTGTATGGTATTATGTTTCAAGTTATTATGTTACTCTCTTAATTAGCACTTTGTTTAAGGACAAGCAAATAGATAAGTATGGGGGAGTTGATAAGTCTGTAATTTGGCCAAATTTTACAGCCACATATTGATATTTGACCTTTATTTCATTTAGATTTTACACAAATTTATATATTGATTGCACAATTTGGTAGAAGGAAGCTGGAAATGGATTTTTTTTCTTGATCTTTAGGAGCCACAGGTATTTGCATATAACCAGAATAGTCATCTAAACAACAGTAAAATTCATGCCTAGCTAACTTTTCTAACATTTGATCAATAAAGGGTAGGGGGAAGTGATCCTTCCGGGTGGCTTCATTAAGCTTCCTGTAATCGATACACATTCTCCACCTGGTTACCTTTCTGACGGCAATGAGTTCCTGTTGCTCATTCTGCATGACTGTGATCCCTCCTTTCTTTGGACAACCTACACAGGACTCACCCAAGGGCTATCAGAGATTAGGAATATGATATCAGCATCTAACAACTTAATTACCTTCTTTTTCACTACTTCTTTTAGATTGGGATTTAATCGCCTTTGGGGTTGCACTTTTGGTTTGAATTCTTCCTTCAGGTGAATTCTATGCGTGCATATGGAAGGACTGATGCCCTTAATATCATTAATGCTCCACCCAAAAGCCTCCTTGTTCTCCCTCAGCACTCTCAAAAGCTTCTCCTCCATGCTACCTGTTAGATTGGTAGAAATAATTACGGGCAAGTGAGATGGAAGGCCTTTTTGAAGGAAGGGATTTGAGTTCTAGTTCAGGAGGTTCTTCGACTGATGGCTTGATTCTTTTCTGAGAATGCTCTCCTATATCTTCAAAAATCCTTCGTATGAACCATTTTCCTCGTGCTCTACTGTTCAATGCTAAGATCTCATCCATTATTTCTTCAGTGTCGTGAAGATCCCTCCTTTCCAATGTAAGTATCCTTTCCAATGCATATTTTATTAATTCATCTTGTACTTGTGGCACATTCAAAGACAACGGGGTAGCATCTGCAGCTGTCACAAAATTACATAAACCAAAAGTGGAGGGATGCTTGAGTGAATTAAAAATTTTAAATACTACTTTCTCATTATCCAATCTTAATGTAAGCTTCCCTTGATGAACGTCTATTATTATTCTTCCTGTGGCTAGGAAAGGCCTCTCTAGTATGATGGATACTTCATCATCCTCTTCCATGTCAAGGACAATGAAATCTGCAAGAAATATGAACTTATCTACCTTGACCAGGACATCCTCCACTATGCCTCTAGGATATATTATCGAACAATTAGCAAGCTGCAAAGAGATTGAAGTTGGTTTGGGTTCTTGCATACTCAACCTTCTAAACAGAAAATTGCATTAAAGTAATGCTAGCGCCTAAATCACAAAGCGCTTTATCAAAATAAGAGTTGCCTATAGTGCATGGAATCTTAAAACTCTCTGGATCCTTAAGTTTAGGCGGCAGCTTCTTTAGTAGAATTGTTGAGCATTCCTCATTCAATCTAACCGTCTCGAATTCTTCCAATTTCTTTTTATTGCTTAGCATCTCCTTAAGAAACTTAGCATATTTAGGCATCTATGAGATGACTTCAACAAAAGGAATATTGATGTGGAGCTTTTTGAGGATCTTGAGAAACGTATTGAACTGTGGGTCTCTCTGATTACCTATCAATCGTTGTGGAAATGGAACTTTTGGCTTTGCAATAGCTGATGCATCTTCCCTTGTTTCTTTGTTCTCATCTGGGTGGTAAGCACGACCTTGCTCATCATTAAGCACGGCCTTGCCTTCGTTGAGCATAGTCGTGCCTTCATTGTCTGCAAGGGCATGTTGTTCTAAGCACGGTCATGCTACCTCAGACAGCATGGGCGTGCAGGGTGATGCAAGGGTGTGCTCCTCTATGAGCACAAGTGTGCATGACTTATGTGTTTGCATTCCAATAAGGCTCCTTCCCACTTCTCAGGGTAATAGCCTTTGCTTGTTCCTTAGGATTCGGTTCTAGTTGGGATGGTAGTGTTCCCAATGCTCTCTGGCTGAAGAGACTCATGATTTGCTCCAACTAAGACTCAAGCTTTGAAGACTGAGTCCTCATTTCAAATTTAATTTCTGCAAACATCTTATCTTTCCTCTCAATTTGTTGTCCAATCTGAGCCTCAAGTTTAGCTATTCTTTTGTCAAAGTTGTGCACGTATTGCATCATCTGTTCTTGAAAATTGGATTGAAATTTGGAGGCTTCTTTTCTTTCTACCTTCTCTCCTTGGCTTTGCACGTGGGGAGGGCAATAGAGCGTATTCTGATTTCCTTGGCAGTTTCCCTAAGGGTTTGTGTTGCTATTATGCCATCCTCGTTGTAGTTATTACCCATGAAGTTCACCTCCTCTTGATCAAACTCTGTATTATGTACTGACTTTGTGGGTTGATCTTGTGCCTTTATTAAGTACTCCAGTTGCTTTGTGAGGGCTGCCATCTGACTTATTAGAGGGTTGCTGCTCTTTGCTTGATAAACCGGTGTGGCTTCCTTTCTTCTAAGGTTATACAAGTCAGTTGTGTGCCACTGAAAGCTGACAGATGCGATTTCATCTATCAATCTGAATGCGTTATCTGGGTCTTTCCTTATAATAGATCCTCCTGCTATGACATCAATCGTGGCCCTGTTATTGATGGATAGGCCACTGTAAAAGATTTGCATATGCCTCCAAGTTGAAAAATCATGATGTGGGCATGTTCTCAATAGTTCCCCGAATCGCTCACACGCCTTAAATAAGGATTTTGCTTCATATTGTTAGAAGCAACATATCTCCGTCATAAGCTTAGAGGACCTTGATGGGAGAAAGCACTTTCCCAAGAATTATTGAGTGAGATCCTCCTAGGTTATGATGGAATTGGCATGGAGTAAAGAAAACCATGCATTCACCTTTTTAGATACTAAGAAGGGGAAAAGGTAGAGTTGAATAGCATCGTTGGAGACTCCATTGTACTTGATGGTGTCCGTCAATTGGAGGAACTTTGTCAGATGTAAATTGGGTCTTTGTTCAGTATGCCCCCAAACTGTATAGAATTTTGCACCATGGTTATGAGTGCTGGTTTAAGTTCAAAGTTGTTGGCCTCTACACTAAGGGCCGCAATACTTCCAGGAGTGCCTCTAGCAGTAGGTGTCATGTAATCTTGAATTTATCTTTTTTCCTCTGCCATTCTTTGCTCTCTCACTTCCTTTCTTTGTCTACGGACTGTTCTTTCAATCTCCGGATCAAATAAACAAGTTGTAGAGCACTTAGAATGAGTGAGCATACACTAGAAAGAATTATGAAATAAAATAAAAAAAAAATAAAATAAAAATAAAAATTATAAAATATAAAAAAAAGAATTTAACAATAAACAAAACAGAATTAAAATAAAGTAAAACACAAATTGCTCAAATCAATTAAATTTGAGATTTTCTTAATATTGAAAAAAGCAATGCAAAAACTTGTTCGGAGGGCAAGTGTACCAATCGAGAAGTAGTAAAGGGTTCTTAAATTAAATTCTCAAAATATCGTCCTACAAGATTTTTTTTTTCCAATTACTAAGAATTTCCTAACTTAATTGTTTAAGCTTCAAAGATACGAGATTAATTAAAACAAAAATTTATAAAATCAATTATAAAACTAAGAGTAGGGAATACAATGCACGTCTTAGTTAAACTTATCGGAGAGGAACCTAAGGCGTATGGATTTTCTCATTTAATCCTTTATGTTATTTTTCTATTTAACTCTAAATCTGATTTTCTCGTGATTACCAATCATTCATCCAAATACTATTAATACCCAATGGTCATGCAACATTAATATTATTTTCTCTAAATTAACATTCCCAATGGTCATGCAAGACATCAATTAAAGAAAGCATTACGCACCTATGAACTTGTTAATTTAATAACAATTAGAAGGGGAACATTGGTTTGGTTTACCTAATTCCTTGTCTTGTTTTATCTTATAGATCTATTAATTAACCGAGGTATGTCGCCTGACGATATAATTTATTCAGGATTAAGAAAGAAGCCTAATAGGGTAAAATCTAATCACGAACGGAAATCAAACTTATATTTAAACATCAAAATCCCATAAATTCATATATGATAGTTCTCATAGCCCTAGCTATGGACTTAGTTACTCATGTTAAAAAAAAGAGATAAAACAATCATAAACACATCCATAATGAAGAGAAATAGCAAATTAGAATATGAGATGAATTTTCGGTCTTTAAGTATGGTCGCTCAAAGCTCCAATTTATGTCAAGAGTATGCCAAGGATCCCATGTAAGAGAGACGAAAATGATAGATATCTTGAAAAACTAAGGTTGTATGTAAAATGGTGTCAAAAGAATGTCCCCTGACGATGCCTCTGGTCCCCCTTTTTATAGGGTTTGAGACTCCTTTAAACCTCTCAAGATTGGGTTTCCCGCAAACGAGCACGGTCATACAAGGTAATAGCACGGCCGTGCATTACCTCGAAGCACCCCCCGTGCTTCTTGGGCATTCTCATTGCTGCGAGACTTTAATCTTCATTAATTTGGGCCTAAAAATGCACCAAAAATCGACTTTTGACTCCCTTCTACCAAACTGCACAATCAATATATAAATTTGTGTAAAATTTAAATAAAATAAAGGTCAAATATGAATATATGGCTATAAAATAGGGACAAATTACAAACTTATCACTAACACTTAAAATAAGTAAGGAGGGGAGTACTTGTTCATAATCTAAAGAGATATGCTTATTAATTGAATCTGAGTCAAAGGAGCCTTTGTCCCTTTATTTTAATAAGGAAATTTGTTGTCATGATTATATATAGGATAAAATGGTTAATTATAAAAAGAAAACGTAGAAAATAATTTAAAATAGCAAAAATAGAAATTTTAGCGTTAGACTTCCACAAAAACTATAGCTTGTAATTTGAATAAATTCTTTGAAAAAATTGATATGTCACATACTATGTTTATTGATACTTTGATAATGTATATGTGGTTTATGCTTTGAAATTTTATAAAATGATAAATAAGGATATTTTACAATTTTTAATGTGTGTGTATAGAAAAAGGATCCTAACTTTAACCACATATATTATTACAGTAGGAGTAATCAAGAACATATATTATTATAGTAGGAGTAATCAAGAAGTTATTAATATTACTTATAGTATAGATAACATCTCTAATAAAAATTATACTACCTTCCCAGAGAAAACTAAACATTATTATGTGAGGGCTACAAAATCCTATTCTTTACTCACAATATTACCATAAGAACACTAAAAACAAAAAGGGCAAGTACAAATCACTCATAACCTATTTCATAAGAAAAATATATAATTACTAATGAAGGTTAAATAAATAAAATAATTATCATTAACAAGATTTTTTCACATTTTTTCATTAGTTTTCTTTTCCCTATGAAGTAATTAAATATTCATTCTTTAATTTTATGATTAAATAACTGGGAGTTTTGTATACACAGCCCAAATAGTGTCATAAGGTATATTATTTTTCATTGGGACCATAATTTATAGTGCACAATTTATCAAAATAATAATGGTCACTTTTAGCGGTTCACACTAAAACCAATCATGAAATGCTTATAATCTTGTTAGTGAGGCGTTCCTCATAATTTTGTCCTACAAGCCAAAGATGAATGTTTGAAGCGTAATAGGTATAATTCTTACTAAATATAATTTTGTGAAGAATGAATAAATGATATAATTGATAAAAATAATAAGCTAAACTTTCTTCGAAGAGTTAGCAGATAACATAAACAATATAAGAAAGTGAACCAAAACACACAAGAACACTGAATACGATAGCAAACACCTTAAATCAAGGAAAAAGCATTAAAATAAGAAAAAAATATATATCCAAAATAAAGAGAATATGAAAATAGAAAAGAAAATACAATTAACAATGAGTCCACCAAATAAAACAAAACTAAATTTTATTTTTTTTTAAACTTTAAATATCATATTGAAAGAGAAAAAATTGAAAGACAAATTAAAAGCATGTTTATTTCTAATTTTTAAAAGAATTTTGTATTTTTAGTTTTTAAAAAGAGAAAACTCTTTTAAAAATTAGAAACAAACATACTCTAATATGTTTGATTTCTTTTTTAAATTTTTTTTAAATATAGTATAAATTTATACTATATTTAAAAAAAATTAAAACAAAAAATCAAACATACTTATGTGTATTTTATTTTTTTCAATACAAAACTGAAAGTATGATAAGATAATAATTATAAAATATTATATTACATATTAACTTAAATAATACTATCTAATGTAATAAATAAATATTTCTTATTTATTTATAATTATTTTCAACAAATATCAATAGTATGTTAAACATGTACTTAAGTTTTGTTTTTATTAAAATTCAAAATATAGAAAATAAAAAAGAAATAATAAGATAAAAATGTTAAACTCATATTATATATTTATTTAAGAGAATAATTAAAAGACCAATAATTAAAAACAATCAGTATAAACAAAATCTTAACCATCGTAAGAGAAAAGTGGAGAGAACTCATTTTCTTTTATTTTTAAAATTTATATAAATTATTTAGAACATAAAATTATATAAAAATAATAAATAATATTACAATAAAAATATTATAATTAAAATTTTAATTTTTTAAATATAAAATTATTTTTAGTTAGTATAAAATATTTTATATATTACTCATTTTTTATTTTAAATAAGCAAAATATATATATATATATAATTATGTCTTTATTATTTTTATTTATTCAACAAGTATTTTTTTTACTTTTATTTTTTATTTTTTTCTCTTTTTACTTTCTATTTAAATATATTATTTTTATTTATTCGTTTAGATATAAAAAAATATATTACGATATATCTATGTATTTATATTAATGTTTGTGGTAATATATTTTTTTAATAACTATTTGTTTATATAAAATATTTATTTCATTTGTGTTGTTTAAAATTGTCAAAGGAGACTTAGTTAATAAAAGATAAATTGATTTTATTGGTTAATTTAATAAAATAAATGATTTTTTAATATAATTTATTTTCTTTTTAGATACATATTCCCACCGGGTTTTTTAAAAATTTTCTGTTTACTTCTCATAGTATTATTAAAAAAATTAATAAAAAATTAATATTTTTTATAATTTTACTCTTAATAATTTATATTTGTTTAATAGAAAATAATAAATCAATAAAAAATTAATAGATGAAATGTATAATAAAAAATAAAATAATAATTTTTTATAGAAATTAAAATATTGAACCTGTTTTTTTAACTCTTATGCAAAACTTTAATAAACGTTAAAAAAACGAAAGAAGTGAATAAGGAGAGTAATATAATCATTTAACATTTTTTTATGACATCATATATTATTATGGGGATTCTCAAGGTAAATGTTAAGAAAAATGAAATTATTGTTTCAGTAAATAAAAAAATTCAATTTATAATATTTAATTTATTCATAATGTTTTATTTATTTTTAGAAAAATATTTTTCGTAAAATTTAAGCAAATATCTTTTTATTAAAATTGATATCCAACATGCTAATGGATAGATAAAATAAACAAAATAAAGAAAAAGAAAAAAATTGTCACAGATCCTCTCACATAGATTGATAAGGTATTTGAAAAAATTATAACAAATAAAATATTAATAAATTTATTTAATTTATTTTAACAAATTCTTAGTAAAAATAAATATTATAATAGTATAAATTATTATATGAAAAATGCTTATTAAAAAATATTTAATTAAGTTGTATAAAAAGAAGAGACCGAAAGATAAACTCTTT